ATGTGTCTGTTGTAGATTATACTTAGTTGGATCATGTTTTTCCTGTCTTCTCTGTAAATCTTTGCAGTAATTGAGGTATCAGATTCCTTTACAATTAGTTACTGGTAATGTACATGTCTGTCATTTTGCTATTTGTTATATATAGGTTATTTTTTTAATTATACCCCCATTATTGTGTTCTTTTTGACTACATAGATTGTTCCTAGTGTTCCATTTTAATTCCCTTGTCATGCTATTATTTACCATGTCAAGTGGCTGTGGAATTGTATCTACTTGTTTTGGTCAGAGGCTTTCACTGAATAAACTCAGAGTTGGGTTAGATAGAGACGGTTTTGAAGTGGGCTTTTCTAGGGATCACCAGACTGGCCATCAGATGGCAGCCTTCTAAGATGGGGGCTTTCCCCCATTCTTCTCCCTCTGGTGGCTGCCATGAGTGTGAGCTGTTGGTTTCAGGTTTACTGTGGAGCTGGGGAAGAGGTAGTAGGAATGGTGCAAGTTAAAAGGCCACAGAGCTTGCTGTTTTTAAGTAAGATTTTGACATTTCTCTTGAATAAATGTTTCTTGTATTATTATAGGCTTGGTAGATTTTACAGTTCTGAAAAAGTTGCTTTTCTCAGGGCTTGAGTTCAATACCCAGGTCTGAAAAAAAAAAAAATTGCTTTTGACTTTGTTGTCGTTAGTTTTCTGGTCTAGTTTATTATAGAGGAAATTTTCTTGTACCATTTTTACTGATGTGCACTTGTGACATAGTATTAAACTGGGAGACAGTTACTTGCTTTTTAACCTAATATCTTTTGGCTTGGGGCTTTCCCCAAAAATAAGTTTGGTTTTTTTTTTTTTTTTCCCTTCGGTGGAACGGGGGATTGAACTCAGGCCCTTGCACTTGCCAGGGAAGCACTTGCCCCAAAAATAAGGATCTGTGCTTTTATTTCCTTATCTTAAAAATAAGTATATTAATATCTACTCAGGATTGTTGGAAAGATTGAGATAAAGAATTTAACAATAAATTGGATTAAAAACTACCTTACAAATTACAGTCAAATGAAAGGATTCACAGGGAATTTAAAAGGTAAAAAATAAAAAGATTGTATTACTCAGAGTTGCTTTATTTATGGAAGCAAATCTACTTTGATTATTTGGGAATAAGGGATTTATTAAGGGAGTTAGATTTCACACAAATATGGGGAAAGCTGGAGAAGTAAAGGTATGGAGGAGGGGATTGGTGGAAAGGGAGTCATTTACCATCCATTCGAAGCATTGACGCAAGTTGCTTATGTCACGATTTATAAGCCAAGAAGCCAGATGTTTCCAGGCATTGAGATGAGACTATGAAAGGGAATCTTGTGGCGAAGTCTTTAGAAAACTATCTTAGTAGCTAATAGCCCTGTAAGTCGTGGCAAAGTCCTATGGGATCTGGAGTTTCTACTGATCAGGTGGGCCAGTAGTTGAGGAAAAAAAAATGTGGCACATACAAAAGGATGAGCTGGGATTTTAGGGTGACTGTGTGTCCTCACCATGTAACTTACTGCTTCACTCTGCATTTCAAGTCCCCAACAGATATTTTGCTGGCCAACTCTGACATGAAAAGAGAATGAAAGAGATTTTAGGAAACACAGTTTCCATATTAAGCAGGTTGACATAGTGTAGCCCAATACCTATCAGTATGCAAAGACCTAGCCCTTTAATTAAGGGATTTATTTACTTCTGTATATTGAACAAGTTAAGGTGTCAAGCCTCGATCATTTCTATCTAGTTGGCTTTTGGTTGACATTGGCACACAGTTTTTATATTTTGTTTTTTAAAAATCTTATTAGCATGATGCCATCAAGATCAGTGACTGGTGGAGCAGGGGAGATAGCTCAGTAGAATAAGTGCTTGCCTGGCAAGCGCAGTGTCCTGAGTTCAATCCCCACTACCCCCGCCCCCCCCAAAAAAAAAAATGATCAGTGACTGATGAGATCTCATGGGATGGTGAGATAATTATGGTCCTTGCAGCATAAAGCATAAAGCTCATGTAATTCTGAGGCAAAATAGGACAAGTGTAATTTTCTTTGTACTGTGGAAGCCCACTGGATCTGATGTTTTCTGGTTATTGGATAGAGAAAAGCACATTTACAGTATTACTGTCTGCCTCCCAGTGTCTGTCCCCTCAGAAAAGAGATCTTATCTGGAACATTATTTATAGTTAGAGCCACCTCTTTATTAAGTTGTAACAATCCATGATGTTTTCCAGAACCTGTCTATCTTTTCAGTTTAAATTAAGTGAAGCCACCCGGATACCCACACACTTAAGGCCTACCCACTTTTCCTAGTACGTCTTTCATGGTTTTGCTAGTGACCCAAGTCAGTGTGGCTTTACAGATACACAGCGTTGCTTTATACTTACTCATTTAATGGGGAGAAGCTTCAAGGGCTTCCATGTGGACTTTGTGCTGTGGCTGCATTAATGAGGGACATTGCTGCCTGTGTGATAGATTGAACTCAACTGTCTATGTAGGAACTATGGAGCCACTCTGTGGGGTCAAACTAGGGCCACTGCAGGATGGACTGACTATGAACTGCCTTACTCATCACCGTTGTGGTTTAGCTCCTAAAGGATTAGCATTGGCCTAATCACTAACTCTAAAAGATAGATATTTTTCCTCAGGATGCACATCTCTGGTAAATGTTTGCATTTGCTTGGGAAAAGACCTGAGGGAAAAAAGTTGCATTACATACTTGTGTTATTGCAGGGTCCTTCCTAAATGGTATTGGCTTCACTTTTTTTTTAAGAAGTTCTAAGTCAGTGAAGTGTCTTAGAGATAGCATTTGTGAGAAAGACAGTGTCTTAGCATGAAGACTCAGATACCTGCTCTTGAAACCAAAGATTTTCTTAAAACTGTTACCCAGATCTAGTTTGAGCTTAGCTGCCTACCCATCTCAGTTGACCTTAACATTCATTCACTTAAGATCCAGGCTAGCCCTAACCATTCTAATAATTACTTTGGGCATGCTTACTGCAAGTAACTATACTTACCTTGTTCCCAGGGGCACAGGGCTGTTAGTGACTCTCTGCCATTCTGTCTCCATTTCAACAAGAAGACTGTTAATACAGGACCTCTACTATAGCACTTCTCAAATATGCTGGTTCTCTCAGATGCAGTGTATTTCTCAAGGCCATGGCAAAGAGAATATCTTGTGGGGCCTGCTGGGGCTGGAATGCAGGGGATAGTTGAGGAGGTTGTAAAAAATAAATTAACAATAGCCTCTCTGTTCTCCTTTGTTGGATTGTTTTCTCCACATTACGTCAAGGAATTTCCGGTATCTCAACTTTGTTTAGTTCTGGATATGTTTGAGTCCAGGTTTTTGTCTAGCAGTTGAGCAAATAATTTAGAACTGTCTCCAATTGCTTGAGTAGGCACCATGAATCAAAACTGTCTGGTGAATTTCTAAATTCAACCTCATTTAAATTATGATCCAATTTCTTTGAGGCCTAGCACCCTTAGGATTGCTTTTACCATTTTATCTCAAGGTTTCCATCTAAAAATTAACAAAACCTTACATTTTAAAAAAGATTATTTATACTTCTGGGGGCCGCTAGGGGTGGAAAGATGTAGTCATCGTAGTGTCTTCAAGAGAGTTGCATCTGTCTTCTCAGAAGAGGCTGCCTCTGCTGCTTTGGGATATTCAGTGGCATTGGGGGCTTCTAATGTCCAAGTCATCCCAGATGTTCCTATTTAAATTTTTGGCTCTTCTTCTTTCATAATCAATGCCTTCTTCTACTCGTGGCTATTTGAATTGTTTTCCCTTAGAAACTGTTTTATCAGTTCTGGCTCCATCTTCAGACTCAGCCTGACGTATTACCTATACTGTGTCACAAATGCAAAAGAGCCAACATTGAAAGACACTTTTAGAAGCATGTCCCTCTTTAAAAGATTTCACAGAAGCTGTATGATTTAAAAACCAAAGATCTATCCAACCTAAATATGCCAATCATACACTTATAGATTGCCAGTTTACATACCTGAAAGACTTTTAATGTCTTGTTCTAGTTTAGTGAAGGGTGCCTTTCCTAGCTGGCTTAGTAGATGGCTATGACAGTGTTGTTTATGTGAAGGTGCTGGTGTGTGAGGTTGCAAAGTGTGCAACTATACATGCTTTTTGCTGTCTGTTGAAGTTTACCAGTGTCAGACATGGACAGAAAAAAGTCAAGAATGCGTAGTAACAGTATAGGATTAGCTTCAGTGATGAAGTAGCTCTGAATTATGGACACACAGCAGTAGTACTCAAACCTGTTGAGTGAATGGGGGCCGATTTTTAATTTCTGAAGGAATGAGCTGAGATTGGTGGTACATACCTGTAACCCCTACCTCCAGGAGGCTGAGGCAAAAAAATCATTTTGAGTATGAAGCCAGCCTGAACTTTAGAATAAGGCCCTATACAAACATTCATGAATAGAATGTCTGAAATCAGCTTTATCTGAGTTGAGATATTCTTTGCTTAAGAGGTCTTTTAGTGATGCTTATTAAACTGTACCCTGCCCCTTTTATAAATTCTCAACCTGGAAGTCCCAGGCTCCCTAACTGTAACAGAAAAGAAAAGAAAAGAAAAGAAAAGAAAAGAAAAGAAAAGAAAAGAAAAGAAAAGAAAAATCTTTTTATTGCTGGTTGGTAGAGGTGAATTAAAGGTACTGCTCTAAAACATAGTCACAATGATGACAACCAGAACAGAGAACTGTGAAGCTGCATGAGTCTATCTGAAATCCTTTCCTTAGGGATTCTAGATGACCAGTAAAGCAGGACTTGTCTTTTCCTCTTTGTTTTTCTCTTTTACTTGTACCATATTTATAGTCTGTTGGGTCTGTCATGCACCCAGTGTCCTAGCCACATGAAATAAACAAATAATCACAAATGTTAAAAATCAAAATTCCGGTCAGGTTGGATGCAAGATGTATATGTGATTTAAAAAACTAGCAATTCGTCACAATTAAGCATGTTTATTATTTTTGTTGTTGTTTCTAGGCTGAAGAAATTCTCAGACAAGAGCTGGACAAAAAAGAAACACCAAGTTTATACTGCTTGCTTGGAGATGTCCTTCGAGATCACTCCTGCTATGACAAAGCCTGGGAGCTGTCCCAGCACCGCAGTGCCCGGGCCCAGCGCTCCAAAGCCCTCCTTCATCTTCGGAACAAGGAGTTTCAGGAATGTGTGGAGTGCTTTGAACGCTCGGTGAAGATTAATCCTATGCAGGTTAGACAGTTCATAAAATCCTACCCGGGGCTTGTGTTTTCCTTTGCATTTGATTTTTTCTGAATGAACACCTATTTTTAATCCCAGTGATTGTGAGCTTGCCCTTGACAGCTAAGAATACAATCTCTTGTACTTCTTCTTTTCACCTAAATTGCGCAGGTGGGTTCTCTCTCTTATTTTCTGTTGCCTTAACTTCTCTCTCTTTTTCTTTCTTTCTTTCTTTCTTTCTTTCTTTCTTTCTTTCTTTCTTTCTTTCTCTTCTTTCTCCTTAGTGTGGCTGCAGCTGTTAAAATTAGGCACCATTCTGAGCAAGTATGTTAGGAAGTTAATAAAAGAGCCATCAAAACTTTAGAAAGTGTTGGATTCTACAAGTCATTGAAGTCAATAATGACAGGAAGAATTTCTTAAATAGGCACACATATAGAATGGGTTGTTGGTCATGTAAGGGAGCATGGGTATGTGTACATACACACAAATACATTTGAATGCTTAAAGATTTTTTTTTTTTTTTTTTTTTTAAGATTTGAAAAGTGAATGCAGGGCTGGGGAGATGGCTCCGTAGAATAAGCGCTTGCAAGCGCAAGGGCCTGAGTTCAATCCCCAGTTCCACCAAAAAACCCCCCCAAAAAACAAGTTCAAGACCAGAGTGGTCTACGAAGTGAGCTCAAGTCCAACCTGAACTATATAGCAAGACTCTGTCTCAAAAAGACAAGAAAGAAAGAAAGAAAGAAAGAAAGATGCAAAAAAGCATTTTGTACTCTAATGTAAAGAGTTTGAGGCATCCACAGGAGTGAACCTAATTTTGAGGGGGCAAGATTAGCCTTATTTTGTGTATAGGGTTATTCAGTTAGTACAATGTTTTTATTATCAGAATAATCGCTTTTGACTACCTTCTCATTTCACCTATCCAGAAGGCACATGTGACTCCTGACAGACATGCAGTCTGCCTTGATAGAATTCTAGTTAATATGTTTGTGTAAAATGAGTTATTAATATTTACCTATTATGAGCAAGTATTTCAATCTAGATGACTTAGCAGTAGATCTGACATTACTTTTTAAAAGTTTTGGTAAAAACCACACAGCCTATACTTTACCATCTTCACCATTTCTAAGTGTACAGTTCAATAATGTTAATTTAAGTACATTCATATTTTTGGGCAACCATCGTCCCAAATTTTTTTGTCATGTAACAACTGAAACTCAGTACCCATTAAACAACAGTTGTTGCCTTCTCTTAGCCCCTGGTAACCACCTATGAATTTATCTGCTCTATATAGCTTATAAAAGCAGAATCATATGGTATTTGTCCTTTGGTGACTGGTTTGTTTTGCTTAATGAAATGTTCTTAAGGCTAATCCGTGTTGGAAACAGTATGTATCAGAACCTCCTTTTTTAAGGCTGCGTTGTATTGTGTTGTGTGTACATAGTGCATTTTGTTTGTTCATCTGGTGGACGCCTGGGTTGTTTCTCCCTATTGCTTATTAAGGATAATGCTGCTCTGAACATGGGTGCTCATTTCCTAACTGCATAAACATGGGAAGTGTCTTTTACATTGAAAAAAAGGAGACATTTGGGAAGTGTGTTTGTTTAATACTTTTTTTTTTTTAATATTTTATTTATTTATTTTTTAATTTTTATTTATTTATTTTTACATTTTATTTATTGTGTGTGTGGCCAGTTCAGCCCACCTGTGGGCGGAGCTGGCTGGCATGTGGTGCTGGGGGATCGAACCGTGGTCCCTGTGCTTTGCCAAGCTTGTTCCAAGTAGGTGCTTTAGACCACTGAGCCATCTCTCCAGCCCCTTGTTTAATACTTTAAACTTTTATTTTCATTTATTTTGAGACAGGGTAACTTGTATACAGCCTAGTGAAACAGACAGATGAACCTAGCTCATAGTATGATACATTAAGAAATACTGAATGGGTTTTTATAAAGCACTAGTTTATACTGAGACCAAAAAGAACACTTCTACCTTTCATAGGCAATGAAAGACAATGCTGGATTTGTCTTTGAAAGTAGAGTAGTGCTTGAGAAGGTAAGGGAGGGCAACTGAAAGGGGAAAAGCCTGAGTAAAGCCCTAGAAGCAGAAAGGAGTGTGTGTGTGTGTGTGTGCACATGTGTATTGACTGCACAGAGAAGGTGGTGAACAGGGCAGTTACCATGGGAATGGTAGGCAGGACTCAGGTTACTAAAGGTCCTAAATGTGAGGCTAAACCATTTGGTCTTCTCTGTGGCAGGTAGGCAACCACTGCAGGGTAGTTTTGTTTGGGGCCTTGTTTCAAATAAATGAATAGCGTTTGTAAAGGAATAATTCAGGAGTACTGTTCAGAGAACACTGGCTGTGGAAGATACTTGGTGTAGGCAGAGTTAGGAGAATGTAATAATCATTTAGTTCTAGTCCTCATGGTTACCAGTGTGGCAGGGACCCTGGGAAGGGAGATGCGAGCAAAGTTGCAAGAGAAGACTTGACAGGGCTTGATGGCTTCATTATATAATTTAGAGCTAATTACTTAAACAAAGAAATGACAATTGTTCAAAGCAGAGTCATAGTGCAAACAGATGTTGTATGAGGATATTTTGCAGTCTGTCATATGGATCTGATTCAAGTCCACTGTTGTTAGTTGTGCCAAAATATTCAGGCATTGTAGTACTCAACTACTACAAGATGCAAACTCACATCCCGTATTCTTAACTTATGATCTAAGTTTGAACTATCTTTGAAGGAAGAGTGCTCCTCTGTGCTGTGTTGTCTTCTTTAAGTCCCACAATAAAAGGAAAATAGAAAAGTAAGATTAAAAAAAAAATGCTGCCCTCTGTCTGATGCAGCTAAGCAATTAATATTAATAACAAAATTTAGACAGAGAGGTATTTGAAGTATTTGGTCTTATGCCAGAAAAACAATTGGGTTTAATAGCAAAATTTAGGCAAACTGAGTATTTGGTTTCATACCAGGGGTGAGATACAAAGCTAATTGCTTGTCTGTGGTGCGTCTGTTAGAGAACCAGGAGACATGTGCTGTGTAGAGTCATGTTTTTGAGATCGCCAGCTAGCGTTCACTTAGGCCTATCTGTTCCACTTCCCCAAAATGACCCCAGGAAACTACTAACATTCAGCCTTAGGCTTCTGGGTTTTGTGGGGTGTTAGAAGCTGAAGAAAGTGGAAAGGAAATTGAATTAAATTTCCTACACAGGTTTTCACAGACACAGGACCAAAATTAAGTTATAAATCCTTATTCCTGTTTGTAGGTGGCTCTTATTTCCATTGCTCTCCACTTTTATGCAAAAAGAAAATCAAGCAAATTGCTTAGATATCAAACTAATATGTATAGTGCTGAAAAAATAAGGTGTTATTTCTTGTCATTTTCTTCTAGCCCGTTCCAACATGTTTTTCCTTTCTGTTATTTCTCCCTCTTTTTAAAATTTTTAATTAGTTATTTTATGTATTTGGCACAGAGTCTCACTACACAGCTCAGACTAATAGCGATCCTCCTGTCTCAGCCTCCCCAACACTGGGATTACAGGTGTGCGCTACCACATCTGGTCTCAATGTCTGGCTTAGTGTGCCTGGGGGTCAGTTTTCAGCCTCCCAAGCACTGGGAGTACAGGCATGCGCCACCACACCCAGTCTCAGTCACTGTATCAGTGTGCCCTGGGGGGCGGGGCCAGCTTGGCACACTGGGGATCAAACCCTGGTCCCTGTGTCTGCCTAAGCAGGCGCTTTTAATCCACTGGACTGTCTGGCCAGCCCTCCTCTCTCTTTTTAAAAAGCTTATTTTCCTTAATTCCCCTCTTCTATCAATTGGTCATTTACCTTTGTGAGGGTATATGATATTAGTGGTGGTATTAAAGATATGTTCAGGCAGAAGGGTGGTAGGAGTGTATGTTGTGGCTTGCTAGCCAGGGAGGGTTGTGTTAGAGATGAGGCAGGAGTCGGATGTTACATGATGATGGGCACTGCATTCATGTGCAGGAGGGGATCTACATGGCTTCCAGGATGAGCTGGAGGAAAGGTGTGCACGAGAGTTCACTGAGCATCTCTGGCAGTTGCAGTGTGTGCCTGGTATCCACCCTGGCAGCCCGTGCAATGCAGTGTTTGTCCCAGAATTTTTCATTTTAAAATGAACTTCTGTTCTCAAGGGTGGCATTGAATGAAGATGGAGGGACAGCCTGATAGCTCTGTAAACTAAAGCACCTACTTAGGCAGACACAGCAAAGTCTCTGGGGTTGGATCCCAGGCCTGCTGTGCTGGCCCCACCCCTGTGGCGTGCTGAGATGGAGATTGAAACTGGGCGTGGTGGCACATGCCTGTAATCCCAGCTCTTGGGAAGCTGAGAACAGGCAGATCACTTTGAGTCTGATCTACGTAGTGAGACACTGTAGACCCTTGTGTCCCCTGTACTAAATGCATTTAAAAAAAAAAAAAAGAACATGGATTTCATAGGCCTCTGTCTGTCTGTCTCTCTCTCTCTCTCTCTCCTTTTGCCATAATCTTCATCTAGTACTCGCAGCAGCAGAGTCCTTGCTTAAAATTTGTTTACATCTAAAGATGACACTAGCTGGTCTCCATTAGTTGTATGAGTTTTCTCCATACAGTTCACCTCACATTTCCCTTGCCTTGTGCTTGCTAGTATGACTGGCTGTGCATACACGCTTCAAGTGGCTGAGCTTCAGGCCTTGGTTAGGAAAGGCAGAAATACTAATATCTCTGAACTCCTTGGTGAAAACCAGGCATTTGTGCCCATGAAGTACATGAAATTCTTTGGCTAGCAGTTAGCAGGATTAGTGGAAATGTGGGAACTCAGAGGCTAGACAGGTGGAGAGGAACATGGAGCAGCCCTGCTAAGGATAAAGCACATCAAGACTAGTCTGCCCTTATGGAAGTTGTGTGATCTGAATCTACCACTATTTTATACCGTCTTACTTGGTGGCTTTTCGTCATTTACGTAAACTTCCTTTAGCAACAGTCACCTCAAAAACAAAACAAAACAAAACAAAACAA